TCCAATCACCTCTTTTTTCGGTCTTCCTCTTTCTCTTCTTCCACGGCGTTCATTTCCATAACCGTTGTTACATATTCCAATTTCTTTCTCCTTCTAATATCACCAAATCATCTAATCCTATTTTTCTCATCTTATCCACAATTGACGCAATACCTATGATTTCTCTTATATGTTCGTTCGTTATCCTATCTTCTTTAGTCACATCACTCATACATCTAAGCATTCTCATCTCTACTTTGTTGTCAACTGCCCAATACTCTAAACCATATCATAGCTGATCTCACTATAGTCTTATAGAATTTAACTTTTACCATAGAAAATAAATAGGATTAAAACAGAACCCTTGGTGCTCACCTACTCTTATCATGAAATCCTCTGTTATTATACACATACTTCTGTATCTGTCTACTGAATCGAACAAATTAATTATTGCTGAAAAAAATTTATTCAGCCTAATATATCTTTAATTGAAAACAATTTGTAGCAAGGTAAGGGTACACGTGTCTGACTTTTTTTACATCGATAATTTATATAGATCACTTTTCGAACTTACCTAAACAAATTCTATTATTTAGTATTTTGATTTTTAATATGTAAGGCAAGTTACCAGATAAGTTTGAATAAAGTACTAAAACACTAAACAAAAATATTAAAAAATAATTAATTGAAGTCAACAGCCATTGTTACAATTTGGTTGTTTTCATAATAAACAACTAACGTCGGTTTTGTGTTTGAATTTTTAATAATATGAAAACAGCAAAAGATAACACAAGTTAGAATAATATAATATTAACTAAGAAATTAAGTAAGGAAGTTTATTTTTTCCATTACTCATCGTGATCAAATTAATAATGATAAAATTTTTTATTGTAATAAGCTCTAAAACTATCAAATACTACATATTTTTTCTTTTCAGTTTTTCATTATGCAAATTAAAAATTAAAAATATTTAAGAGCTTAGGTTATTTTTCTTTTGAAAACAAAATCAAATATTCATTCTTCATTTATAGCTTTAATTAATCAACTTTTTGGAGAGAAAAATATTTTAAACAATGTTTAATAGCTATGAAGTTCAAGTTTTGTTTCAGTGATCACAAAAAACTACTCAGTTAGAAACTTATATATTTTTATTTCACTATTTCAATAATTTATAGTCAATTAATTGGATGTTATCAATTTATAAATATTTCTTTAATACATAATTTTGTAATTGTAACAAGAAGTTCATTTAATTAATCAAGCTAATTTTTAAATTTTAATGAGTTGTATAGTTTGACGCAAACTTTGTTATGTGTATGACAAACACATGGTTACTGCTTAAGTTTATTGTTTAAAGACACAAACTTGAAATTGTATTTTACACATAACCTGGCTTTAATAATTATTTCTTAGAACAAGTTAGCGATAGAAAACTTGATATTTGTCAATATAATGTTTGTGCAATTTCTAATATTTCACAACAATTTTAAATATTTGTTTTAGGTTTTAATAAAATTATAAGATTGTTTATTTTTATTAATCATTTTACTAGAACTTTTAAATATGTTTTATATTTATTCATATCAGTTTTTAAATAAAATAATATATTTAAAAACCAACTCCCTCTTGCATCTATTTCCATCCAATAATTGTTTACCTACAAAAAGAGGAAAAATTTGTACCTAGGATTCTGGCATAAAAGCATCTTCATTAGCCAATGTGACAATATAAAATATTTAAACATGTATGTTTGAAATTATTATTTCTGTAATGCGATAAAAATTTTTAATACAATAGAATAAAATAAAATTTGATTTTGTTTTGAGAAATTTTTTAATTTTATACACTATCTTATTTATTGAAATTGTTATTAAAACATTTCTTTTTTTTTTCAAATAAATATTTGGATTTATTAAATAATTTTTATAAATATTATAGAATAACATAATTGTATTATCTAGTAAAAAAATGAATTAAGCTGTATTTTTTTTTTTTTAAGAATTAACTAACTATTTTGAATAATTGCAATACGGTACTATATGTAGGCAAAAAATATGCATGCATATTTACAAACAAATAATGAAATGATTCGCTTTAAAAACAATAATAATCAATATTAATTCATAAATATCATATTCTTTAAAATACACATTGAAATATATTACTAATAATGAACTTTATTTAAAAAAGGTGCCATATTTGTTCATAATATTTTTGTGACTAAATAATGTAAACTTCAAAATAGTATTCAAGAAAATATTTAGATTTAGAAGAAAACATGACTAATTACTACAAACAGCGTAGTAGCATATCTATAGACTTTCTTTAATGTATACATTTATCCTTATAGATAGTATAAGACTTTATAATTGATTATACTTTATCAAATTCGATGCAAACTTACATATTTTATGTTTTGTATTTTGGAATATTTCAAAAGTAAATGTTGAATTATTAAGAGTAAAGTAACTTGAAAACTTAGCATAGCTATAAAAAAGACATTTAGTCAGTTTATATTACAAGATCTCTTTTGAAAAAAATATTTCATTAGTCAATAAAAGTAATTCACAAAAATTATGTTCTTTTAAATGAGTTTTCGTATATCAGTTATTGTTATTCAAGTAGCTGCTTCAAGAACATAAATGTTTGTATACTATCAATATTGTAACTGAATTTATTTTCAAAATAGCTTTATTATAACTCAGACTTTTGGCTTGAACTTACATTTATTTTCAAATACCTTTATTTCTTTGTATAATTATATAATAATTTGAATATGCTACGATTATAAATTTGTGCGTCAACATTTCTAATAAAGTCCTAATACTAATTGTAAAGTCGTAATTAAGTTTTCACAATGAAAAACAGTTTATTAAATACATCATTAATGTTAATAATTATTACAATTTAATAACTAGTTAGTGGTTCATTAAACATTCAACTTTTTTAATCGAGTAATTTTTTAGACTTTAAATTATATATTTTTTAATTTTAAATCAATGTTTTAAATATAATTTTAATTTTAAATTGTATTTAATATTTAATTAAAGATGTGTTCTTAAATTTTTCGTGATGTATATGGAGTAACGTTGTAAAACTTGTTTTTACCATTAGAAAAATATTTTGAATTTTTAGGTAGTTTTTTTATAATATAAAAACTCTAATCGGTAATCTAACATTAATTTGTTTTTTAACATAAACTAATTTTATAATTAAAAATATAATATAATTTTATAATTAATTTATTTAACTATGAATTCTTTATTATTTTTTCATTTGAATGAACGAGATCATTGTAATAAATTTATATATTATTGACTCGTTCTTGTATATAATATCAATAGATATTATGTGTGTTTGTTTTGTTTTTGTTATTTAAACTTTAATTAAAATTTAAACCCGTTATCGTAAAACGAAAAGGTGTGTTTTACTTTGTTCACCATAATAAAAATAAAACTCTGAATTAAAAAGGTCTACAACTCAGATAACTCATGGTAGTAACCATTTAGTCTCTAAATATGGAAATAGGAATAAAACTGTTTTGTCATTACTTTTTAAACAATAATTTGAATAATGTTTTTGTTTACAAAGTAACATGTCAAAAATAATTGAATGTTAATGAATAAATTTAACATTTTAGTTATAAACAGCAACCAATGTTTTCAATAATATCTGTTTTTTGTACTTTTTTTTATGTTTAGCTTGAAAATATTTTTAATTAAAAACTTTATAATAATTTCAGTCAATAATGGTTAATTATTTTCTATAATATATTCAATAATTATAATAATTCTTATGCTCGCAAATGTTAATTGAAATCAACATACCGCAAGTGAAAAACTTTTCACTTTGTACATAAAATATTTTTAGTTTATTTATTTCACACTCGCTAGCATTTAGTTATTGTTTTATTAATTAACAGGTCATGTAAAGGATTTTGTCTGTCTCCTCCAAAAAGGAATTTCTTTTTATATTTCAGGACAGATGGTTTCCCCATTTCTTGAGTAAGTTTGTTGTCTCCAGTGACTGAGATAATATTTCACTCATTTAACGAAACAGCCTAAGACTAACTATCTAACAAGTGACAGTACTGTTGTTTTACCGTCTTGACCAACTCGTTCATTTTGCTCAATAACTGTAAGTTAAATAAAATATTACGGAACTATTATAAATATAATAAGCCTTCAGTGTTATTAAAATTAAATTCTACTATAAATCAGAATTAATTCTTCGTAACGTGATGAAATATTCAAATTGTACACGTCTAAGTCAAATTGTATGGCTATTAAGATTGACAAGTATTAATGAAAATGCTTCACTAAAGTAATAGAAGTTGTCTCAAGATAATTTCACTATTAAATTAACGAATAAATTTGTAGTATCACAAATACAAAACTTTTATGGGACAAACAAATATTTTTTCGACCGTTGATTGAAAATAACAACTATCCTAATAATAAAATAAAAATGTATTGTCAGTCGCGTCTAATTTATGTATAATTAAAATTTTTGTTTTGAGTGATTATCTAATAACAGTTATTGTTAGCCGCGGCACTCTTCAGTTAACGGTTAGCGTTAAGAAATCTGTTCATAAGGCTCACGTGGACCAATAATAAGACTTGGTCTAAAATGACATAAACACATTACACTTTATGTTGTCGATTGCATCTCCTCCACGAGACACTGGCGATTAAGAGGTATAGAATGAAATCTGCATTGTTCACGTCGTTTCAGTAGCACTGTAGTTTTACTTATGTGTTTTGCATAAAACCTTCGAGTGTAAAGAATTCGCTAGCGATAATAAAAGTAGCGACAAAAAATGTACGAGTGAAGGTGGGTGTATGGCAAGCACGTGTTTTTAAAATGTTTCCCTCGGGTACGACCAAATTGAATGAGTCGACTGTAATTATATTTGTTGTTAGAGTGGCCAGTGTTTGCGCGAGTCCATAAGTGAAGATTTCGCGAGACATCCGCGTATTGTGTCCCGTTAAAGTGAAGTATATTATGATCTGATGCGGCCGCAGACGGACAAGTCGTGTGCCGTTTTCGCCAGCGTGCAAAGGTCGCTTACGAGCGCAGAATCGTTTTGATCGTCGCTAGGAGGGCGGCGGGATACAGCAGCACATCACACGGTATTTCAGCGAGAACGAACCACGACGAATCTGTGCAGTGTGTTTAACGGTCGTGTGCTGGCTGCCGAATATTAACCATATTAATTTCCATCGCGAGTTCTCGCCAACTCGAGTGACGCTAGTCAAAAACCGCAAAATTCATTTCTCTGTAAAAATATATCTATTTTTTCATCTCGCCGGCTGAAACGATGAAAAAAATCACATCTCGATGAAAGTGCCGTCAGTGATGTCATATTGACAAACGATAGCATTAACTATAGCCGTAGCGAGTTGATATTTCGTTTCGTTTTTTCAATCTTGTGATAAGCAATCTATAATGGATTGAACGTTGATAAACACGGCAAAATGCTGTGTACAACCACTTGGGGTAGTGTTCGTAACATTGGCGTCATATGTCTTTGGATGACCATGATGACCATCTGTCAAGGTAAAAATGTTTTAAAATGAGCTAACTAAATTAATGCTTATCAGTTGTTCAAACTAAAAAAAAATTGTTTTCAATGACGTGAGTTCATAAATAATTTTTTAGTTGAAATATAAAATTCCATGTGATTAATATATAAAACCATAGAAAAGTTTATCATGAAAAAATGATAAATAATTGATTAATGTGTACAAATGTTGTTTAAAAAAATATTTCAAAAAATTTTCGGAAAGATCATTAATAATAAACGCAGGTACCTAAATTCTTTAATTATTTCAATATCATAAATTAACATTAATATTTTTTCACGCATGAATAATATCATGCAAATAAATTAAATTAACGTTAACTACGCTTCCTTAAATTTGATTTCTTTTTTTTTTTTAAGATTACTTTTAAATAATTATAAAATTGTTGATATTTAAAAAAAATTAAACTCAACATTTTTCTTCAGTATCAATTTGTTATATATAAGTAATTTAAATATACTTTTAACATATTAAAATTAAATTAAATTTATTCAATTTTAATATGTTAATATTAATGATAATAATAATACACAATGACTTTATACATCTTTAAAATGATTAAATTTGAAGAAAAACAAAATGGTCTTGAGATTATAAACATTAATTAGTTTAATTTTTCTTTCATATATTTAGATTTTATCCACAAACTATAGTTTGTATCATAACTTGAATCCCTAGATTAAAACACATTCTTGAAAATTACATCAAGTACAATATACTTGATGTAATTATACATATTATGTGTATTTATAATCTAAAATACGAGCATAGATTATATTCTATGATGGAGTATATTTTTAATTGTATCAAACAGGAAAAACCTGAGATACAGTCGTGCATGACAACGAATTCGACAATAGTTCAATACAGATTTAATAGACAACATGTGAATCACCATTTTAGTATAATACAAACGTATTAAAAAAAAAGCTGTTATGATCAAGTTATTAATTGAATTGCTATAAATGTAGAAAAAAAATATAGAGGAAGTGTTTTAACAAAAAATGCCACACAATAGAATACTGAAATCCCTGACAACGCATTTTATAGAGAAATTCGATTATACTACTTTAGTAGTGCACTACAATATTATTCGAAGTTTACAGGAGACCTCGTGGAGAAACATTGGCATCGGTTTCATCGAGCACCTCAATAAGTTCTTCTATTGTTCCTGTAAGAACGTACACAAATTCTGTTTAATGTGAAAAGGGGGGGTAAATTTGAAATTAAATTGATTAACATTAGAATATTACGTATAAAAATAACATTTGAATAAAAAATCAAAAACTGGTAAAAATAGAGAACAGTTTTGATGAAAAAGAAATTATAATAAAACATAAATACTTCCAACACAAGGGAATGATTTTTTTTGTTATTATATTATATTATATAGCTTTATAAAACTATTATGAATACAAATAATATCTTGGATTAACATTATTTAAGATTTTTAAAATAATTGCACGGTATTTGAATAATTTTCTGAAGTCTTTTTTTGTTTTTCAAGTTTTTTGAAATTATAAATGCCAATAGGAATTTTATATACATATACGTATCTTATGTATTACTAAGTGATAACAATAATATAATTTTTTGTTTTATAAAAAAGTTTAAAGCAGTCCTGAGTTTGTTATTAGTTATGTTCAGTTTTACAACTATGTTTAAAAAAGGGTTATGAATAATTAAGAAGTCATAATAGTATCATTAACTCGATTGCATGATTTTATGTCAAGGTAAAAAGCATCAATCATTATAAACCCGTTCGATTAAGCTTTAGTGTATATTAATCCTTTTAAAACACCCTCATCATAATTTTATTAGAATTATCTTATTGGTTTCTCTAATAAATAATTTTAACGATTCAAAAATTATTCGATAGTAAAATTAAACTCTATGGATACCAACACTTTTATTTTCTTCAGAGTTTAATCTGTAAATAAAAAATTATCTCATGTTTATTATAGGTAAAATTTATATGAACATTATGGATGATCATTTAAGTTCAAAAAAAAAAATTAACTTGTTATACATGGAATACGGATTTGCCAAACCTACAGATACTCAAATGTAATATAAGTACTCATGTATAATGTTGGTTATTCATTCAATTTCTAACATACACTTTTATATTTTTTTATATTTTGTTAAAGTTAACCTACGCCATAAGCAAATAAACAGTATTTATGATATAACAAATCTAATAATAAAAATATGAACATTGTTCAAAAAAAATATTATTATACTGATATATCAATGAAGTACGTTCACAATTTAAGAAATCAGGCCAATTGTTACGAACAATGGAAGCAATAGAAATTTTTTCCTTACTTACTGAACACCCTTGTAATGATAAAAATAGTATAGTATTCGTGAGGTAGTATTTTTGACCAATCTGGGGTTTGGTCGATTGGTTAGCATCGAGGTTCTATCGGGGTTGTAGAGTCCGAGGGTTTAGAACAATAAAGACCAGTAAGAATAAAAAGAAATCATTAAAATTCCTTTTATAGAGGTATTATACGCTTAGGTCATCTTGTAGTGGCCGAGGTCTTGGCCTCCTCTCAGACACTCAGTCGAAGTATATCACCAAGCACTAGTTATTAATAATAAAATTAAATGATTTTGTATTTTCAATTAATTTATTACTTTACCGCTTAATTATACTAAATAATTAGATTAATGTGAATTTACTTACTTCTTTAAGATTGCTTCGTAAAGATAGTCGATAGTCAAAATATTATATACGAAACTTTTTCTTAGATTGTTCTGATTCGCACACGCGAAAATTCTATAATTTTTCTTCTTAAATAAATAAATAAGATACCGATGCAAAATAATTATGTATCAATATAGTATTAAAATGTGCCGACAACACATAGGATTGCGGCTAGTTGAGAGAAATAAATTGGACAAAAGAATTCTAAATTCCGTAATGAATTTAGAGCTTTACAAGTCTCTTTTCCTCAATATCAGAGCCTTTTTATATTATTTTTAATAACCCACATCTTGGGATATTGTCGTCAGCGTTTTTAGTGATTTTCAGTTTATTGTATTAAGTTGAAAATAACATGATTTTTATGTATTCATTATTTTTAATTTAACCATTAACATCGATAATTAGAGTGGCCGACGTATTGTGTGACGAACCTTGGCCTATGATGGAATAACAATTTAGGAATGATAAAGATCTCGATAGGTAAGAACTTTGATTAAATTAACACATGTTTTTCATATTATACAGTTCCACGAAACACATTCCCTGATAGAACTTATTACTAAGAAAAAATAAGATAGTAATTAAATGAATGTTTTTTTGTAAATATCTATCGTATTATTTATTTTGAGAATGTGTAGTGTACCGATTTGAAAATATCGATGCGACCTGCTTATATTGATTCGATAAACAATGAAAGATGAAATTTCGGAGTGACAATGGCCATGAATCCCGTAGAATGAAATTTTTAATTTCCGTGGCCGACTTAATTGTTTTTTGAACATGGAATACTGTCGTAGCTTCCGAAATAATGGTCTTGAATTTTTCCTTCGCCAAAATCCATCTAACTAAGCGTATTGGAATCCTAAAGTCAACTTTATCACAAGTGACGGTTATTAAGTTGTTCTTTAAGGCCTTAATTAAGACCTTCTTTCTACTAAGTATTTTAATTTTTTTGTACCAAAAAGTTGCTCTTTTTCTTAATAAATATAAAAGAAAAACCTTTAAGGTTTAAGTATCACGATAATATTTAAAATTGATGAATAAAAAAACGTTATTGTGTATAAATTATTATCAATTCACTCAAAAATCGCGAGCTCTTGCAGTAATAATCATTACTCCCTTGCATATTTGATATTATGTTAAGTACTAACAAAAGCTATTTTGTTTATTTTTGATCGAAAAAAAACTTAATACTAAGTGAAATTTATTTATATCAAACAAATATTTCCATTAGTATTTTTGGTTGCTTAATTCAATTTATTTATTTTGGTATATAATAGTACTTTCTTCATTTTCCATCAAAATGAATATATTACTTTGTGAAGTACACTTTATCACAAACAGCGTACATTAATAAGTACACGTGTTAAGTTATTTTTAGGTTATTGGGTTGATATGTTTTTATTTAAGACTTTATTGTGTTAAACGTTTGCCACGTGGCAATTATATGATCTGAGTTACATAACGCTCACAGATTATTTAAATAATAAATTTCCCATATTTTAACAAAAACCTTGAGAAATCACGAGGAAAAACGAAAACACGACATAACAATAAACAATTAGTCCATTTATTAATATTTTTATAATGTGTAAAATTAGAACCTTAAAACATAATTCAAAAAGTTCACGGATTTTTAATATTTATTATGTAGGACATATTGCAGTACAAATTTGAATTTTTGTTTTTACCTGTTCATAGTATTTTGTGACAATTACATTTGTTAAAATAAAATAGTATTGAAATATTTTTAATATTCTATTTTTTTAAACAAGTTTATAAAATGTATTATAATTGATCTAATAACTAACAAGTGTACGATCATTTAGAAGTAAGACTGAATAATTGTTTTGAAACGGTTGAATAGATTTTTTCTTTTTGTACTAATTAATAAACACTTAAATAACATTGTTTATAAAAGCAATATAATATAAATAAATTATATCCAAAACTGTTTTTATACAGATGTGATAAGTTCTCAAAAAAAACATTTGACATTTTTATTATTTTATTTCATAGCATTGTTTCTTTTGAGAAGTTATTATTTGCTAATGTTTACTTAAAAAGAATGTAACATGATCAACACAATATTACCGTTTTAGCGTATACAAAGAAAATATATACGATAGACCATAGCCTGATAAATTCTTAAAAAATGTTTGTATCTCAAAATCCATCCGTGAAATATTTTTAAAATAATTCACATGGGAAACCTACGTTATAGTAGTTTTGTTTGAATATAGAAATTAAAAAAAAAACTACTCCATCATTTGTACGTATACATATGCCACTAAAAAAACTACCAAAACGAACTTCATTTGTGGAAATGAAAATTATAAAAATGTATAAAAAGCCTTGCAACAATTGTTTGAGCAAAATCATTTTGTACAATACGGTGATTTTTATCAAGTTGCAATAAGATAAAATGTTATTTCTTTTTTATCGTACTTTTTTTGTACGATTTTTATGAATTCAAAAACTTTTGTTTGATCTGCTCTGTTGATCACATTACAAAATTTATTATATGTATATTGAATGTTCAAAGTTCATACCAATAATTTTATATTTAAATCCCACTAAAATTTGATGGACTATAAAAATGATTTAGCATAAAACTTCAATACTGTTATCCAAAGTATTATTCATTTGAATATTTAACAGAGAAAAATAACAAATGCTCATTATAAATTTTAAATTTAAAACACTATATCCTAAATGATGTTTGAATGAAATTGGCCATTTAATTGAAATTTAAGCTTTTGCAAAGCACCGTCATAAATATAACTGAAGTATTCGTTTGTAAATACATGCGATAAAAACATCGACAAAGATTTTAAGTCGAATGTAGTTACGTTTTACCTTAGTTTAAACAAGTAATTTTAAGTATCTCTTCAAAGAAAAAGGAATTAGAAATTTCTCTTACGGATTAGATGGAAATTCTAGAATATAATAGATAATACATTTTGTATATTCGTAAAAGAAATAAAAACAATAATTTAGGTACTTAATGACTCAAAAAAATATAATATATTTTTTTAATATTTCAAATTACTAGTAACATTAATAACATACGTATGAAATTATTATACTTGTATTATTCTTTTTAATTACTTAAATTACTGTGAAATAAACAAATATTTTTACCATAGAAATAAAGCAGACTCAATCATTATTTTCTGAATGATTTTTGATTAGAAACTGACTGACATGTTTGTGTTTTTTACGAAAATGTTTCATATAAAACTATTATATACAAATCTTTGTTTACTGTAATTGTTTTGAAAATATTTAACTATCAAAAATTAAATTTTATAATATAAATGTATTTTAGCAGATTTGTAATACTTATGCTATTTAATAAATATTTATAGTTAATAATATTGTTCTAATATATATTTATACACTACTAATATAGTTATCTATTTAAGTATACATATAGTAACCAACATTTATTTCATGATAGTTTACGAATTATAATTAGAGTGCTCTGGTTTGTTTCAAACGCAACGATTCAATCTGACCTCAAAATAAGTTCAATCAACAATACTGTAAATACTGAATACTGTAAACGATTTCATTCAAAACTTCACACTAACTCAAATTAACTAATCCATCAATTAGGATCAAATGCTGTTTCAGGTAACCCAATTGGCATCGCAATTTTAAAAACAAAATGAGACCTTATATCATACATTATCATAAATTATTATAATATATAATTTAATTAATAATAATAGTAATATAAAGAATAAAATTATATATAAATTTAATATTTTTAATAAAATTTTGATTTCAATTAATATTAGCTAAACTAAAAAAATTGACCCAATCAAAAAATAAATAACAACTTAAAGTTAATATTTTTTATTTTTTAACAGTTATTTTTTCAGAGTATTTTTTACGAAAGTGTTTTATATTTTAATTATTAAATAAAATGCATTACTCAGTTCAAGAGAATCAAATTGATGCTCAAAAATATATTCACATTCTGCATTATAAATAAATAAATATATATATATATATATTTTTTGCAAAGTATTCCTAAATATGCTATAAAATATAAAAACTTTTACCAACTAATGGTGTGTTCGAACTAACAAAATTTATAAATGCATTTAAATACGGTACCTAATTATTAAATTCACACGATTCAATTAAATGTAAATGAATTTATATTAAATAAGTCTGGGAATGTAATTTACCTTTTACATAAAAGGTATATGATGTATATCATTATATGATGAAACCCACATACTTGATCTTGTGCAATTAGATTTCTCTCTTTGGTTATAATTTATTTTTACTGAACTCATTACGGGTATTTATATTACCCTAAAATTAAGTGATCCAACACGTACCGTTTTAAAACATTTATTTGATGATTTTATTGAGTCTGTCAATTATTATCTATTATTCTGTTAATTAAATAGTCATTTATAACCGACAAATTTTGTACGCAAAGTTTTGTAACTAATTAAATTTTATGGGGTGCAATTTAAACAATATCAATAATAAGATGTTTGCCATTAACTAAATAAAAATGAATTTGAATAATTTTATAATTATACATAATTTATTCAATCTAAATATTTTTATATTTTAATATTAGATTAATTCAATAGGGAAACTATTTTTTTTTTTTAATAATGTAGTAGGGATATTAAAAAAATAAGTTTTCCAGTAGAGATAGTTACATTGATTTTTAAATTAAATCATTGAAAAAATATTACAATTGAGTTGCAATTTAAAGACAACAAAATTAAGTTCACAAAAATGAAAAATATACTGCTTAAAGAAAAAAGTATAATTTTTTTATAAGTTATGAAACATTTTTGCAATTGGGTTTTCTGTCTAAGTTTAACGCCTGAAGAAAAAGTTTTTCGTACTGTTTTCAACGTGGTTAATTTTCAATTGGATAAATATTCGAAAAAAGTACAAATGTTAAAAATAACTTAAAATAATTATAGTAATGTTTTCTTTTCGTGTACCGGTAACAATTAATCATAAACAATTACTTAGACATGTCAGATCTGCCTGATAACTGTTATAAACTTTTAATTATAATGTTTCATTTATAGTTTATAAGAACAACAATAACTATTTAACAATGTAAAACAGAATTTTAATTCACCGTAGTTCAGTGTTCATCTGAAAATAAAACCATTTTTAATAAGAAATATGTAAATTTACTTCTAAGTACAATGCATTAATTTAGGAAAACCTGGGTTACTTTTTTACAGAAAATGATTAATTTTACGTAATTTTAATTTAGAAACGCAGAGAAAATTATGAACGTTCATTTAAATTAGACAATTATTTGCATCATTTAAGTATTGTTGGTTATTTTTTACATAATTTTTTTGAATAAAAACTTTAAATTTTCAAAATCGCTTATTTTCACGATAATTCCTGAATCGCCGCGACCTTTTATGAAATAATTTTTCAATCTACTAGTGTTCAATGAAAAGACGCAAAGAGAAAAATAAAATAGCTAAAATATGATAGACCTTTCGGTTGCTTGGCAACTCAATGGTAACTAATGGCATTTAAATAGACAGATCTCAGGTGCCTGGTGTCCGCGTTTCAAAGAAAAGATGAATTACATGTATAGCATAACGTCAAATACTATTGAGCCTCGTGATGATGATGTTATGATTGCAACGTAAGGCCCATAATGACTTTAATGATTGATAATGATTAAATACTTAGTTGTCTTCCTATAATTTAGAAAATAGTTACATTTAATATTACAGAGAGAATAAGTATTATTACTTAGTGTTAGTAATATTGAAATAAAACAAAATCATCACTTGATTATTATTATTCTAAAACTGTTTTGGAATGCTTATTATTTTTTGCTCACTATGTACATGTAAAAAATGGATAATATCAATTTTTCAATTGTCACGAAGCCGTTTATCCAACAAAAGTTCTAAATAAACAAAAAAACATAATGTTACATTGTGGTTTAAAAATATTTATAGTAAATTTACAAAATGATTTATAGTTTTTGTTAAATTTTGCGAAAGATCAACCAAATTTGTTATGATATAAAAAAGTAACCACGGAATAAAATCCTCCACTGGGTAGTTTTATTCACACAAACTATTACCCTTATAATTTAAGTAAAACGATACAATTCATTCAAAAATCGAACCTCAGTGTATTACCTATTCGACCATTATAACTTTCTTTTCTCTCTTTTAAGCTTCTCTAATACCTCGGGGAATACATTTTACTTTTTACACGTATTAAATCCCCAACCTACAAAAATACAACAAAGAAGTATGTTAACATGTGGCATATTCGTAAACATTTATTTATTTTCAAAAAAAAAAAAAGGTCTGTAAGATACTCTTCCTTTTGTGTCAAACACTTCATTGATTAGACATTATGTTATTTGTACGAATTATCAACAATTATATTTAATTCCATTATCCGTGTGCTGATTTAAAATTTTGTAAAACTATTTGATAATTTATTGAGCAGTATTTTTTATAAATAGTAGATATATCAATAAAAACGGATATTAATTTATTATATTTATATCGTTCGAAAAAAAATTTAATATGTTATCTGCTTTATAAACTATATCCCTTGGCGAGTTTCATAAGTTTATTTAGTTTTGAGAAAAACCACTGCATTCAAGTATTTATTATTCTCGTCACAGTTTGGTTTATCAGAAAATATTTTCACATTACTTTTCAATGAATTCTACATTAAAGAAATGCAAGAATTATTGATATCTTTAAAAAAAAATTACAATAATTATTCAATCATCCTCGTTTTTAAGTACTACACCTCGTGTACAAAAACTTTAGTACCCGTATCCATGATTGAACATCCATATCGATGTGTTCGGCCAAGTATATAAATGAATATATATATATATATATCGGATAATGCAGTGCCAAGTAAAATAGTCAGGGAGTCAGTTTATCAGACCGACATTTCCAATACCGGAAGCACCCAACCCTAGTGGTACCCTATCCACTGTGTACCTTATTCAACAGGAAACTTTCTATCTTATCCGTGCGAGGGAACGTGTCCTGAATTCTACAGATATCCGTAAAAGTCGCCAGACCTTAATAATTCCAATCGAATTCGCATGTGTACAACGGTATCTGTAAGGAAGAGTTTGTATAAATCCACTGCGTTGTCATCTCGACCGCAAAGAATATATTGGTCGCGATCATATTACCATATATCAGCGGGCACTTCGCAAATTTTCCAAAGTTATATTTATTTCGTTGATCCCATTCTAAAAAGTGCTCAATCAAAACACGGATATTTGCTTAAATTCTTTTGGAATAGATTGAGCGAATCAATAATGTACAAAAGTTTACAGAGTTTTCCAAATGTCATTATTTACGTTGTGTGAGTTTGTATTTTTCAAGGTCTACTCGCATTATATCAACTCAAATTTAAATGAAGTAAATTTTCAAGAAAACTAACACATACACTTAAAATTACAATTTAAACTACCAATTATTTAATTAAAATTCTATTAACGTGGCAGTGAAGAATACTATAGGGAATTCGCGCACCAAAGTTCCCTTTTATGTCGTCTCGTATGAATAATTCTTTAATCGGTACACATCTTAGTGCTGCTATTGAAAAGTTTATAACTTTTAATTGTTCTTATTCGTATTCCTTGAGATTTTTAATCTTTTAAAAAACGTATTTACACATTTATGCAGTGAAATAAAATAATTCCGAATAATGTGCAGTGATAGTTTTCTTAATAAAGTAAATTGTTGTCATATCGAAAGAGCTATTTAAACATGTATATTACATAAGTTTAAAATATGTTACTTATTTATTGTTTTTTTAAAAACACATAACCATGACGAATAATTAAGTTTAACGAGGCAAATTTTTTGAATTGTTCTGTCGCCTTGTTGGGTCCGAATAGACAGGCATGTTTGTTATTTATTACTTTTATGAAACCATAAATATGTAAATTAACAACTATTTATATCATAATTTTTGATAAAATAGTTTGAACCAAGCGTATACTTGGAAGTTGTCGAAACCGACAGCTTTAGTATTTATTTACTTACTCTGTAAATTAAAGCGAATTAATCACGATCTAAAGTTGTGATAAGAATAAAAAAAGTATGACGTCAGCTAAGTATCAGCTTTGTAGCCTGAACAATATCTCGAAAGTCTATTTAGTCTAATATTAATAATGTTAGTCATTAATCATGTTTGTTTAATATATACCAGTAAAGATATTTTTCAGAAACTGCTATATTTTATTTTTAAATACTATGGAAAAGTGTAATAACAATGACATACTTTCACAACAATAGATAATAGATGTATTCAGGGTAAGCGTACGTACAGCCACCCGGTGCATTTAAACAAAAGACTGTCGTAGTGTGAAAGACATACAATAGGTGTTACTCAACGTCGTGTATCACTATTTGTCATTGACTACTCATTTGTGCGCAAAACAAAATTTAGTTTACCAATTATTATGCAGTTGATCCTGTATCGTTATTAGAATATGCCAGTGAGGCTTTTGTGCGCATAGGTAACGAATTGCTCAGAAAGTGAACAATTTGTAAAAAAAAAAGCAACGCGAAAATGAATTCATTTCTGTAATGATTCTTCTCGACTGATCATCGTTAGTCACTTTAAACCAAGGGAACAATGGTACACACTAGAAATATCTCGGCAAATATTTGAGGGGTAACTGCTCCATTTTACCCCTAGTTTATGACAGTAAAATACATGCGAACTCTATGGCTTACCGATATTTCATGTGACTGGAACCAAAAAGTTTCATTAAAAATTATTGTTATGACAAAAATAATACACGGAAGCATTTCGCGTTTATGTATCTGCCAACCTAAACATGACCGTTAAAACCGATAACAATGTTTTTATTGTATTGTGCGTTTCGCATTGCTCATAATTTTAATAACAAACAGGACGCACCGAGAAGATCTAGAGATACATTCGCATTGATTTCGTGCGGTTCGCAAAATATCGTATTTTACATAGTTGTAGTTGTTGGTAATAATAGCCACGAGAATATACAGTACTAATGGATGTGGTAATAACACTAGTGTAGTACCAAAAGAATTGGTAGTAATGATTGTTGTATTTGATTATTATTATAGCTCTTATTCGATGGGTTTACAGGGTATAGGGAAGTGTTTGAATTTCCAACATCTGTTTTGTGGCATTCCTTCGACTGCGTTCCGATACTAACTTGTACCGACCCACCAAAATAACATTCGTTTGTCCATTCAATGCCGTGCCCCATAAAACCAGTTAATGGCTTGCTATTAACGAACACCCGAAATTGTTATTGTTCCCGTCCAATATTCATCTACCGTTAAAATATATATTATATTATATTTCGAACATCCTCAATCGTAACCCACTCGCATATCCTTTCGCGGTCTATTTATTACCACCCGAAAAACAACATTTTCGTACCAAGTTGTTGGTAAAATACGATTAATAGTTTGTAAATTTCATAAAGTCTGTAATGCAGTACAAAAGTAATAATTTATAGAATAATAATAATTTGATGTTATTCGAATGAAAATGAGCAACGCTTACAACAACACTTAAAATATAAATTAAATAACCAGTAGAAATACTCATATAGATGACAGACGATATTACACATAGAAATTACTTGATCAAATATACAACGTAGTACAAATTTGTTTTATTAATTCAATTTCCCTCCCATGACGAAAACATACTTAAAAAGACGCATTTGTTCTTGCGCATATTTTTCGTCTAAAATTTTGCCTAAAATAATTATAATTTTAATATAATAATGTTTTTGATAAAATTTCTATTTAAAAATGCACATATATTTAGTAAAACTTCTAATATTAATAGTTACTAAACACGGACCGTCATGTTAACAGAACGTAGAAAAATGTATACGGTGTACGAAAATAAAAAGGCAAACCATTGACGCTTTTTACTAAAAGCGTGATAAAAGACAATGAATAAGTGAGTAGAGAGGTTTTTGGCAATCGCTTATGGACGATAAACACTGTCTTTGAACGTTGTGGGATAGAAAAAAAAAAACAAAGTAAAAACGTCGAAATCAATGTGCGCGTTTTTATATTTATATGTAACACTGTATGTAAAGATAAAAGTATCCCTTTCCCTGCCCTTCCGCTCTCTAATATGATCACTTGATTTAAATAAGGATCGTTGGTTGACGGTTGTTCGACGGCAACGTCAATGGGCGTGCGATTTCACTCCATCGGTTTTAGCAACCCAGCCAAAAAAGACGACGTGCTAATGGTACGAGGTCTTTACCCGTCTTCTGGCGTGGGAGGCGTTTTATTGCTGCTTAAGGCAAGTATTCCATGCCGCCATCGCCAGAAAGTTTAAAAGTTCCCGACCCCGTGCAGGTTATCGAGTAGTGGTGGTACGCATTTAAACCTCGACCCCCTCGACCAAATAAACGGATGAAACCGACAAAGGAAGGTAGGGAGACAAGATTTTTATTATGTCATACGCATGAAATAAGTGTAATGGATGGGGAAAACGCGATACAGCCGACCGTACAGCGCTATTATGTTATTATACACTTTGTGTGCACAGCATGAGAAGTCTGCGGACACCCCTGCGTTTATTTAAACGCCTGTCTGTGTATAAAGTGCAAGCAAAAACTAATAAAAAAGTGACAGATTCAGTCCACGGAGTTGCTTATACGACAAGAAATTCGGTGACTGACTGTAAAGACTACAAACGTGGTGGTTATCTTGTACACGGATTCTTTGCTTCGAGATTTACAGTTCATCGAGTAGTATTCAGCAGTTCTCTTTATTGACATTTTGCAGTTCACAAACGCAATTAGTAAGTCGTTTAAACCTTCATAGATGCTAAGAGAAAGCATAATAATTGAAATTCGTAAACCATATTCGACATTTTCTACGCTGTATT